AAAAGGGGCCAAAAAATTAGCATTTTTCTAGTTTCCAGACAATAAATTGTGTTCAAGTGTATGGATCTCTCTGAAATTGTACTGCAAGGTACCATACGACAAAGGGAAGGCTGGGATTGAGTTTGGGGGTGATGAATCATAAGGGGGTTCAAAATAATTTGGGGGAGGAATTTTTTTTTCTTTAAAATTTTCCATTTTAAATTGGTTATTTCTGATTTATCTATAACATAAACAATAAAGATATGGTTTGAATAGGTAAATTAAAAATTTATAAGTTCTTAGACCACATTCATTCTGTGTCAGAAACCTATGCTGTGTCAAATATTTAATCACAATCCAAATTCAGTGTGTATCAAGCTTGAATGTTGTGTCCATACTTGCCCCAACTGTTCAGTGTTCGACCTCTGCGATTGTGTCAAGCTGCGCCCAGCGGAGCATTTTATCTAATATTCCCGTTGAACTTTAAGAAGATATCCGCAAGCATCCGAATCAAGAGATAAAGTAGGTCTTGTGTTATATCATTTATACATTCCAGCATCGCCGGAAAATGAAGCTGTAAGGTAAATAAATACCTTCTCATTTTAATTATTTAACATTGGAAACTGGACAAAAATATAACATCGTATATATCTATAGCAATCCAAATATACAATCTAACATCCGTTTTTAGAATCAGAGTCGTTCTGTTTTCATTATTTTTACACTATTCTTCCCTTATTTCCGTCAATATTTTCCAGAAGTTTTAAAAACACCGATTAGGACATATGTCGTTCATTTGGCCAACGATATGTGCATATAGCACTTTTGTAGTAGCCATGAGCACCTGAGACATCCAGTACCCTTTTCATATATTTTGAAAATATTTATCCTATCATGCTTTGCGAGATTAAGCTGTTCCGCAGAGAAATAAATGGATTTGACAAAAAACTGATGCACGTGACATCCCACCAAGACTATGTCTCTAATTACTATTAACCACATGCACTATGGCCATGGTCAATATAAAAATTGGGTCAGCTAAATTAATTTGTTCACCACTAGCCATATGACCTATATACCAATTAAATTAATCATTGGTAAGAGGCCTTACAATTTTAATTCAAGCTATGTAAAGTATAAGAAATTTGATTCAAGATTCATTTTCGGTCTAGAAAGTCAAGAAGCTTTTCGAAATTCCATGAATTACTGATTTTTGGGTTTGTAAGGGAGAATTTTCCTCGTAACAGGAGACAACAGACCATAGGCTATTTGAATATCAGAACACTTGACCTGACAATCTGCTTCACTTGAACTATTGTGGCGTCAGACATTTTCTATTGTGACGTCAGAATTTTACGGGAACCTTTGTGATGTCCAGAAATGACGGACAAATAGCGATAAGGTCTATCCAGTTTACTAGAAAGTTGAATGTGTTGTTATCATCTTCATTGCACTGGCCTGAAGGGAAAAAAGGCTATTTGGATATCAGAACACTTGACCTGACAATCTGCTTCACTTGAACTATTGTGGCGTCAGACATTTTCTATAATGACGTCAGAATTTTACGGGAACCTTTGTGATGTCCAGAAATGACGGACAAATAGCGATAAGGTCTATCCAGTTTACCAGAAAGTTGAATGTGTTGTTAGCATCTTAATTGCACTGGTCTGAAGGGAAAAACTATTTGATATTCTTTGTCAGGGGGAGGTGATGATTTATTGGACATAACATTCATTTTTACCTGTTACTATAAAGGCTTACCTTTAAGTCTGATATTACTGTGCTCATCTTGCAAGTTGGTTGAATTAATAGTTCATTTCATTAAAACTGAGGGTTGAATCATATCACAAGTATCATACGTGTTATGATTCCACAGCTAATACAAATGTTGAAAAGGATCCAAATCAGTTAAGGAACCAGAGCTACAGTATATATAATAATAATAAGATGTGGTATGATTGCCAATGAGACAACTCTACACCAACCTGAGACCAAATGACATAGAATTTAACAACTATAGGTCACCGTACGGTTTTCAACAATGAGCAAAACCCTTACTGCATAGTCATGTATGAATACAGTCTTCACGATATACTTTTATATCTACAGGCCCGAAGTTTAATTTTTGTTTTATTATTTGTTCAAGGTTTTTCTTGTCTTTGTTGGTTAGTAGTTATTGAGATGAAGTTTTTGTTCGTTGTTGTCAGGAAAACTAAAGAAATAATGTGGGGATATGCAACTAGCACTTTTTTATTCTTTTGTTTTAAATCATTTAATAAAAAGATTTGAAATTTAGATTACTTTGTTCCCTAAATCACTTATAATCAAACATATCCTTATTATCTCGCAAAGAAAAATATCATTTTTTTTTACTATATCCTTTTTTTCTAAAATTCATCTACGTCTAGTATTTATCAAACGGAAAAACACAAAATCATTCTGAAAAGCCTCTTAGAGACACAAATAAATATCCTTTTATTTCCACTACCAGAAAGACGTGCTTATCCAATCAATAAATAAAATATGTCTGGATGAACTTTATTCCAGACCTTTTATATTTATATACTACTGTTCATAAATACTCCGTTAAGATAGTAGATAGTCAGCTAGATTTTAAAATTCTTTCTGAAGACCATTGGGTGCAACACGAGGGGAAATGAAAGGAAAACTATTTCAAAATTGAATGAAATTTACATTTTTAGACTCTACCGATTCATTTCAATATTTAAGGAGTATTTTAGGCCAGCGAAAGTCCCAAAAAATTATCAATTCTTTCGAAATAATTGGTGTCGGCCCTATTAGCCTCCGTTTCATTATTTCCCATGAAAAGATGGTTATTTTGACTTTCTTCATAACATAATGAAGCGAAAAAGCGTAGAACCAACATACATCATTTTCATGGAATCAACAGCTATTTGACGTAATTCATAAATTACAAGGTAACAGTTGTCCTGCATCAGATCCCCATTGCGACAAATAATGTCTATTCAGAGATGCTCGAGGCAATATTTATGAAAATGCAAAACGTAATGCAAACGTTGAAGAGCGGATATATCTAACAAAACCAAAAGTATTATCAAACCGAGACTAGGAATCGGAGCAATGCTTAAGTAAGTACATTCCTCACTTGTAAAGGCGAATTCCAATTAAACAATACTTGTTTGACATGTAAGTATCAAAGCATTAACCTATTGGAATGATGAAACCCTAAGTGACTAACTGTCCACGAATAAAGGTATCAACCCACCGTAAGCTATGAAATTTGTTTTTAACAAAAATTACAGCTTTTAATGATTTTTTATGGCTGATTTTTTTCATTGTTTTTTTTTTTGCAACTTAAAATCATGGGCTAACATTTTAAAATCAAACTGACCACGCACAAATGTTAACGGGGTCATAAGAGTATCTTCACTGAGAGAAATAAATTAGGGTTTCCTATGAGAAATATTTTTGTGTTGTGCACTGATTTTATATTTACATCTTTGTAATAAATACTAATCAATTGTGCGACATAAAAACAATTTAATATTCAAGAATTAATTGACAGCTTTGGCGTTTTAACAATTAACTGATTTCTTTATTTCAATTTCGATTATACTTGTGTAAAAATATCCATATTTTCTATTAGATATGATTAGTTATACACTTTGTCAAAATTAGAGGCATCTATACATTTTGAGAACAAAATATTGAATGAAACTCTGTTACAATATATCTTTTATTCGTGTATCAAAACAAAAATATAAAATATCAAAATATTTGGACAAATATCAGACGAATATTGCACTATTCATTGTGTCATCGGTTGTCTTATTTTATGTGTATGTCTTGGCACGAACACATACATAACATCCATTTCTTGTGACGCATTCCTCGTTGAAGTTGCAGCCCCGTGAAATGCACTTATTTTGACAGCCTATTGAATCAACTAGCAAGGTACGTCTAACTAAACTACCTGACCGAATAGAATCTACTGGCGAGATACGTCTGACTAGACTACCTGACCGAATAGAATCTACTGGCGAGATACGTCTGACTAGACTACCTGACCGAATAGAATCTACTAAAGCACCTGTGAGGGTACTGTCTAAGGAATCTCCAGTAATGATTTGGCCTCCTGGAAATGAATCTACATCACGCTGACAAAGACGTCTGCAATCTTGCCCACCTTGCACCAAACATCTCTCAACACATCCTGATGTAATAATGTCTGATCTGACTACTGCATTTGATAAAATTACTCTTTTAGGTCTGCACAAACGATTACAGCCAACTGTTTGACAACTGTATCCAGTTTGACAATCTAAATGACTAGAGCATTCAATTTCACAAGCTTTCTTCACTGGATATACTGTAATGATAAGTTTTAATCAGAAATATTGAAAAATGAAATATCGTTGATAACTGAGATTGGACTTAATTATTGGGTTTCGATGTTTTCCATAATCACTGTGTTTATTACAAGGTTTAAGTGCCACTACAATTAATACGTAGGGTATAGCGGATTTCACGGTTTCAGCGTTTCTGATGAGTGTTAGAATATGTCTTTTATTCGTAGAAAAAGTCAAATAAATTGATGATAAATTAGAGTTAATTTCATATCGTTAATAATTACAAAAAAAAGTTTTGAAATCTTTGTTCAAATACCTTTTCAAAATTTGTCTGTTTTGATTAACTTACAGCAATCTTAACATTTATTTTTGCTTTTCAATACAATAAATTAGGTATTCTCATTTTAGAATGAAGTCATTTGTGTATTGCGAGCTACAAATTCTATTATTCAAATGAATTCAAATTCCTTTGTTTTCCCAATGTGAAGGAATACGAAAGAGTTCAAACGAAGTAGCATTGTTTGTATTTTTATTTTCGTATACAAGATTGTTTATAGAATGTTTGGTCTGTTGGTATTCAAATATTTGGTCTGTAGTTTATCTAATGATATTTGCTCAAGATTCATTTATTTGTTTAAAACATTAAATAATGAACCAAAGATTGGAAATATGATGCAATAAGATACATACCAGCAAAAGCACATGCTATAAATCCAAAGAAAATGATAACAGCTTTCCCTTCCATTATATCTGGAATGAATATTAAAACAATTTAAATGGGTTGAAAATGCTATAATTGATGAATTAGTTTTCTACCAAAATAAATGAGGCATTGTGGAACATGTGGAAGAGAAAGAGATATATATATACTCATAACTTATTGGTATTTTTCTATTTATCAGATTGAATTTTGCGTTTAACTAAAAGCTGCACACCTATACAATTATAGAAATCGTCGTAAAATGTATACAAGTCAGGAGTGCAATTTATTATATAATAAAAAAAGATCGAAATGTAATCAGAAGATCTGTTGATCATGAATGTTTGAAAAGTTGATATCAATTTATCTTCGACTTATGAAATTTTGTTGTCCCTTTCGTATTTCCCCTCTTTTTTATCCTTATTTTTAATCATATAACGTTCACAAAAATATTTCAATATAAATTTAAAATCATAATTGCATTTTAAATTATAGATTTGATACTAAAAATCTATTTCTTTTTCGAACCGTTGAAATAAAAGTATCATCGAAATATTATCAAAATTGTTTATTGTTTTTAAGATTTAATTCGTTGTAAACATATGACTTACCTCAAATGTGTCCTTTTTAATTGTGTACAGAAATGTTTTGTGAAATCTTCAATTTATTTCTGTCTTATATACACCCTACATGAGGAAATACACCGTATTAGAAGAAGTAAACGGTTCAGTGCAACCGTGACGTAAGTTTTGCAATACTTGTTATTATGAACATCAATCAAGTTCTAAATGTCATACGTGCATTTTGAATATTTGTATAAAAACTTAAACCTCAGTCTCCCGTGTCACCAAACCACCACAAAAAAAATATGAAATATGTCTTTGGTCATAAGGTTTTGTTTGAACAACAAATAACTTTTGTTATCTGTTTGATTCATTTCTTCCTTTCCATCTCTTTTTTTTTTATTTCTGCCACACATTTTGACTAAAGGCGGCTTTCTATTTGTATCTATAGTTCAAATTTTAAAATATTAGACCAGAGCGATGCTTTCGGGGATGTTTGTCATGCGGAAACATGCATTTGAATATTGTGGTCTTTAAGGAGAAATGCACCATGGGTGTGCATTAATACTTTCAATTCTGATTTTGATTTTATCGAACGACCTCGAATTTTGAATTATTCGGGAGGGCAATTTTTTTTTTTTTCAGGTTTTGCACATTTCATGACAAAATTTTTGTCAAAATTCACTTAAGGTTCGCCGTTGCACAAAATCTTTATTTGATAGCATATGATAAGATAAATATTTTAAACCGAAGTTCCTGATTTTTCGTAGTCTCACTGGTACAATCGTCGTGGGTTTCGTGTGTTAGTAAACAATCAATATTTGGGTTATATTACAACCGGCACGATTTATATTGAGAGACCTTCAACGTTCTAATGTGTAATGCTGATTATTCATAAACTTTCAAATCATAAAAGAATAATTGAGTTTATTTGAATTTAAAAAAAATCAAGTCAATTTAATATTCCAACAGTACTAATAAACATATAAAGAACGATACAAATACGTAAAGAAAAAGCCTATATGTAACTTCAGTATGTCATTTATTGTCTAAGCTGTTTACTAACATACTTCTATTGGGGATTGTAAACCTCAACCAAGAGCAGGTAACCTTCAAAACTTTCCAAACACGATTCAATTTTCAGGTAAAACAAAATATTTACATGAAAATGTAATTTTAGACTTTAATTTTTTTTAAATCTTAATATGGTGTCATCTTTTGACCATTTTGCCATTAACAAACCGACACCAGTGGACGGTGCCAGCATTATGCAGAACCCTTTGGTTATAATGTGAAAGATTGTCAGAACAACATCGGTCACAAACTTTTCTTATACCAATAGTTGCATTTGATTGGAGCAAATTCATTCAAATCCAACATCAATCCCGCCATATGCTGTCAATGCCTATCACAGTCAGAAGCCTGAAAGGAAAGCAAAGTAATATACAATCTGGCACAGCTAAAACAAATCTGTCCCCATGGTATTGCTCAGACCGTTTCCGAAAATAAATGTTTGGTATTTAAAATTGGTTTATGGGACATTTACCACTGTAAGGTTAAAAGATGAATTATTTTTAATTGAAACGTGATATTTTAATCATTCACCTACTAGAATTTCATCTTCATGTTTTATTGATGTTTTGAGAAAAAAGTGTTTTTACATTTTGTTATCAACCAATTGTATTGGTTGGTTTATTATATATAAATATACTTAATAAATAAATGATTTGGAAAATACGTTTAAGGTATAAAAAGTCATGAGATTTCCGAATGCAATTAGGTTCTATCCGGGCACTCTGGTGCAAAACCTTGGTTTCATCCGTGTCTTTTGGTTCTGAACCTTGGTTCTATCTGGGTTCTTTGGTTGGAAACCATGGTAACTGGTTCAACATCCGGGTTGTTTGGTTATAGGAATCCAAATTCTTGGTTCTATCCGGGTTCTTTTCTAGTATTCCCGTTAAACTATGAGAAGATATCCGCAAGCATCCGAATAAAGAGATACAGTAGGTCTTGTTTTATATCATTTATACATTCCAGCATCGCCGGAAACTGAAACTGTAAGGTAAATAAATACCTTCTCATTTTAATTATTTAACACGGGAAACTGGACAAAAATATAACATCGTCTATATCTATATCAACCCAAATATACAATCTAACATCCGTTTTTAGAATCAGAGTCGTTTCGTTCTCATTATTTTTTCACTACTCATCCCTTATTTAACTCAATATTTTCCAGAAGTTTTAAAAACACTGATAAGGACATATGTCGTTCATTTGGCCAACGATATGTGCATATAGCACTTTTGTAGTAGCGGTGAGCACCTGAGACATCCAGTACCCTTTTCATATATTTTGAAAATATTTATCCTTTCATGCTATGCGAGATTAAGCTGTTCCGCAGAGAAATAAATAGATTTGACAAAAAACTGATGCATGTGACACCCCACCAAGACTATGTCTCTAATTACTATTAACCACATGCACTACGACCATGGCCAATATAAAAATTGGGTCAGCTAAATTAATTTGTTCACCACTAGCCATATGACCTATATACCAATTAAATTAATCATTGGTAAGAGGCCTTACAATTTTAATACAAGCAATGTAAAGTATAAGAAATTTGATTTAAGATTCATTTTCGGTCTAGAAAGTCAAGAAGCTTTTCGAAATTCCAAGAACTACTGATTTTCAGGTTTCTAAGGGAGAATTTTTCTCGTAACAGGAGACAATAGACCATAGGCTATTTGGATATCAGAACACTTGACCTGACAATCTGCTTCACTTGAACTATTGTGGCGTCAGAAATTTTCTATTGTGACGTCAGAATTTTACGGGAACCTTTGTGATGTCCAGAAATGACGGACAAATAGCGATAAGGTCTATCCAGTTAACCAGAAAGTTGAATGTGTTGTTAGCATCTTAATTGCCACAGCTAATACAAATGTTGAAAAGGATCCAAATCAGTTAAGGAACCAGATCTACAGTATATATAATAATAATAAGATGTGGTATGATTGCCAATGAGACAACTTTCCACCAACCTGAGACCAAATGACATAGAATTTAACAACTAAAGGTCAACGTACGGTTTTCAACAATGAGCAAAACCCTTACTGCATAGTCATGTATGAATACATTCTTCACGATATACTTTGAACGATATGTGCATATAGCACGTTTGTAGTAGCGGTGAGCACCTGAGACATCCAGTACCCTTTTCATATACTTTGAAAATATTTATCCTTTCATGCTATGAAAGATTAAGCTGTTCCGCAGAGAAATAAATAGATTTGACAAAAAACTGATGCACGTGACACCCCACCAAGACTATGTCTCTAATTACTATTAACCACATGCACTACGGCCATGGCCAATATAAAAATTGGGTCAGCTAAATTAATTTGTTCACCACTAGCCATATGACCTATATACCAATTAAATTAATCATTGGTAAGAGGCCTTACAATTTTAATACAAGCAATGTAAAGTATAAGAAATTTGATTTAAGATTCATTTTCGGTCTAGAAAGTCAAGAAGCTTTTCGAAATTCCAAGAATTACTGATTTTCAGGTTTCTAAGGGAGAATTTTCCTCGTAACAGGAGACAATAGACCATAGGCTATTTGGATATCAGAACACTTGACCTGACAATCTGCTTCACTTGAACTATTGTGGCGTCAGAAATTTTCTATTGTGACGTCAGAATTTTACGGGAACCTTTGTGATGTCCAGAAATGACGGACAAATAGCGATAAGGTCTATCCAGTTAACCAGAAAGTTAAATGTGTTGTTAGCATCTTAATTGCCACAGCTAATACAAATGTTGAAAAGGATCCAAATCAGTTAAGGTATAGAACCACTAATTCAGGCCCGGTCGGAAAGAACATACAAGAAAGTAGTACATATTTTAAGCAAAATAGTTCCTACGCATAGCTGCATCTTTGTCAATAGTGGAAATATTTGGATAGTTTTAGTATCAAATGAAAGGTTGGGGACTTGGGGTCACTGTAGAACCCTTGTTGAAAGTTTTATTTGAATAATAAAGAAGTATAGGAAATTTTAATAGGAGGGCTCATTTGGCCTGTTGTTCGATCAGAAGTTCCTGTTTTTGTACTATCAAACTTCCGCGAACCAGTACGCTCTAATATGCAATTAAAGGTATGTTGATTTTTTCAGCACAAGTCAGCATAAGGTACAGTTTAGACATGAAATAACTGCCACTTTATTTGAAATTAAGATAAAGTAGCCATTTATGCTTGAAATTGCAGAATTTAACATAGAAAGCAATGGGGCTATGAATTAGTGGTTTTATACCTATTACTGACAGGCATGTGAAATTCTATTTTTAGAAATCATACCCTTTACAGTGAAAATTGGTCACATTTGTTGTCAGAAATCATGTTACATTATTTTTTTTATGTAACAATTAGTTTAGTGTCAAATTACAGCCCTCAAATTACTACAAGAAGGTATTTTAGCCTTTTTTGGTCATTTAGCATGCACACAGTTAAGATTTTACCTGAAATTTAAATTTTTGGATTATCTAACACTGAAACCAATGAAACTTGTATATTATGACTAGTTTATAGTATAAATATTGTTTTTGGTCATATTATCTAGTGAGTGTTCATGTTTTATTGTGTTTCTTGGTGAATTATTTATTTCAAGGATTATTGGTGTATACTTATATAGGAATTCCAAAATCTCACTTGAAATGCATTTTATGACCATTTTAGCAAGTTGTCTAGCTTGGAGATACATAAATTGCTCTTGTTGATCCATGTTTATACATAAAAGTATGGTTTTTTTTACCAAATCACTCTCCTTTTCCAACATGTAGAAAAAAGGGGGGACAAAATTATCAATTATATTTTATGTTTGGACCACTGTATTTATATTCAAGGAAGAATCTCTGATAAAAATAAGACATATAGGTAAGAACACTGTTATTTGAGTAGATATTAACAAATCAGAACTGGTAAAAATTGAAAAAGTGTCATATCTGTCACTATTAGTATCCATATGTAGTTTTCTTTGTTTAACGCATATGTTAATACCAGTCCAATTTGAGCTTGAATTCAGTGATATAGTGTTT